AGGAGTGACTCTTTGTTTTCCCATATGCATGCCCATACATGTGATCTCTTCTCACACCTTTGGCATTTTGCTCCATTGCTAGTGGTTCCCCGAGGTACGGCACCACTGCCCAAGCACTCCCATCATCCTCGTGGGCACAAAGCTGGATCTCCGTGATGACAAGGACACCATTGAGAAGCTGAAGGAGAAGAAGCTATCCCCCATAACGTATCCTCAGGGTCTTGCTCTGGCCAAGGAAATAGGTATGTTTGGGAATCATCTTGGACCTACTGAAAAGAGAGAGGCAGAAGAAAAGGGCTTCACCTCATTTTAATGAGGCTTTTGTAGTGGTATCGCACAGTGGTATCTCCAAGGGACACAAGGAGACGCCATGGGACAAAGTGCACTTGAGGAGACTTAGGAAGGAGATCTGCTTCTTGAGGAAGACTCAACCCCTCAGCCCACTGTTTTCTGCCTCTCTCTGGCCTCCATCCTCCACATATACACACTCACATTCTCCTCCCCTTTTACTCTGCTTACTTCTGTCTGGGACTATTTTTTCTGTGCAAGCCACAGTTGCACTGTGGGCAGAGGCCACTCCTCCATATCCGGAGGGGCAGAAGAGAGGCTTGTAACATCTCTCAGGAAGAGTTGCAACTGCAGTTTCCTGTCTCTGCTTCTGTCTGCTGGGGCTTATATGTGCAATTCCAGGTATGGGTGTCTCACTTCACCATCCAGCTCTTCTCAGATGTGGCACACAGGAATAGGAGAGAGGATGAGAAACATAGCTTGAAGGAGTTTTCAAGAAGGAGCTCAGCAGAGAAAGTGTCTAGCCAGGATGACATGGTCAGACACACACAATGGCTCTGCTCTGGCTACCTGTGTAGCCAGTAGGTAAATATAGGTCTAGTGCAGCTGGCAAGCTTTGCCCTGAAGTCAAGACTGTGAATATGAAATGTCTTTGATCACCTGAGATGTGTTTATCCAGCTTGCGCAACAGCCAGGTACTGTGCTTTCTAGCACAAGGAGCAGAAACCTGGGTACCCCACTGCCTACCCCACTCCCTTCCTCCCCATTGCATCACCTGCTTTCCTCCCGGCAGACTCTGTGAAATACCTCGAGTGCTCGGCTTTGACGCAGCGAGGCCTCAAGACAGTGTTTGACGAGGCCATCCGAGCAGTCTTGTGCCCGCAGCCCACCCGGACAAAGAAACGGGCGTGCAGCCTCCTCTGAGCAAGTAAGTCTGACAGGGATCCCTGGGAGTGACACCAGTGGTGCTTTCCTGCTCCTGAACCCGGATGGTCGGGGCCACTCTGTTCCTGGTCAGGCTGTTGGAAAGGGTCACCTTCAGAGGGAGAGAGGGAGACAACCGATCCTGCTTGAGGAAAGGACAGGGCATGGTATGATGCACCCAGAATCAACTTCCCCCTCCTTTCTGCTTGACTGTTTGTTCCCATCTCTTGATGTGGGGCAGCATAGGATTTTCCACAGGTGCCCTTACAGAGAAGAATTGTCTGTCACAGAGGGAACTACATCCAGGCTGCCCTGGAGATGACCTACCCTGAGACCTATGGGGCCATAGCCCTTGCTTATGAAAAAAAAAAAAAAAAAAAAAAAAAAAAAAAAAAAAAAAAAGGAAAAGAAAAAGAAAAAGTTGTTCCTTAATGATGGCAGTTACCAGTGTCCCTTCCTCTTACCAGGCCCTGCTCACCTCAAGGGTTTTTTTGTGTTGTTCATTGGTAAGTGGCAGCTTCTCCTGCAGGACTCCTTTACTCCTCATATTGTCCCTGCCTGCCTCCACTTCAGTAAAAGGCAGCAGAGGGAGGAGAGAGGCTTCAGGACAAGAGTCAAAGCTGGTCAGAGCCTGATGAGAGAGAAGAGTGAGAGCCTGCTAGTTTGAACCCTGTCCCTTCATACCCACCATCACCAGAGCAGAGGGAGGGAAAGCAGGAAGATGGTTGAGCTGGTATTATGAGGTCTGTCATGTTTTTGGCTATAGATCCCAGTCTCATCCTGATGCCAAGTACTGTCCAGCACACAGGAGAGTGATGGCTCCAGCAACCCAGAGCTCAGCACCTTGAGGCGGTCATCGCTTTTTACTTCTGCCAGCTTGAAAGACTGCTGTGGGTCTGTAGCACTGGTTTATCTGTTCGCACAACGTCCCCGCTCTTTCCTCACCTGCCCAGCTGCCCCTTCCCTTCCTTCCGGGCCCCTGAGGTTACAACTTAGTGAATGAGAACCAATAAACAGACTGTACATTCTTGTCATGTCTGTGATGTGTTGCGCCTCAGGGGGACTGTGAGCAGTGGGACGGCTGGGCTGGAGGCAGCGCCCAGCTGTGCCCCTCCTTGGGCAGCAACAGGCAGCCCCACAGGAGGCCTGGTGGCTCCACTTGCTGTAGGATGATTGCTAAGTTGCTAAGTTCTCAGCTGAGCCCCCCACATTCCTTTTGCCTTTCCTCTTCTCAGTCTCTGTGCGTTCAAAGGGAAAGTTGTCTCCCCTCTGTGCCACTCAGAGGATGGGATGCAGGTTTTGGGAGGGGACAACTGCAGGCAGACTCCTCTCCGTGGGGACTGCCCCCGCAGGTTGCTGGGGACATCTTTTCACCAAAACATTGCTGCATTAATCCTTCTAAGCTCTGGCACTCTCTCACACTGCCAGACACAGGCAGAGTGAGAATAGGAAGGGGGAGGGCAGGGAAAAAAATGAAAGAGGGAGGAATGAGTCACCAGTCCAGACAAATTGCCTCCAAGACACTAAAATTAAGCTGAAGAGAGTGGTCCCAGCGGTACTGTGGATCTGGCAGCTGTGAGCACCTACTTTCCTGATGCATTGCAGGGACTTCAGAGTAAGTGTTACAGGGTGGCTGCTACTGCTACTACTTGCAGGAGAGGGGAGGGCTCAGGGTGTGATGATTGGCACTGCAAAATCCTGCAGTCCTAGGAGGGCACAGAGAAACTATGAAGTTGAGCCACATTACTGCTCCTGGATGCAGCAACATTTCTGAGCTTCAAAGGCTGCTTCCTGCACTGAGGAGGTGCATTGGTGATGCCAGTCACAGTGAAGCTCTCCAAGTACCTTACTGTGAGGGAGATTTCTGCAGTTCCAATTCATGGTCCGATCTGAATGAGGCAGTTCATTCAGTGATGTGACACATTACCTACTGATAAAGTTCAGAGCAGCCCCTGGAAGGCACCCTGTGGCAGGGAGTTCCACAAACATCTGCACTGCACTGCATATGGGCTGCTGTATGAATTGCCCAGACCACATCCAAAGGTAATATAAATTATGTCAGTGTAAGTCCAGAAGAGTAAAAATGAAGCTTCTGGTATGGGCATAGATCTGTGAAAGGGCAAGGGACACAAAGTCTTGAAAATGGCATCTAACCTCCTTTAAGCATCCTAATCATGACTCAAGGCAATATATTCCCAGTGGTTTATTACTTCTGTCCAGTTTTCAAGCCTTGGCTTTTACCTTTTCAGTAATGTACAGCAATGCACACGATGTGTGTGAAACAAAATTCCTGTCTCTGCCTACCTGTGGAGGTGCACAGGCAGAGCTCTTCTCCCAACACAATTTAAGCACTTTGCACAGCTCCACACTGGAGCTGAGGCAGGGAATGGGACACGACTCAGAGCGCTGAGGAAGTGATCTGGAGACCTGGAATTTGTGATGCTATGACTGTGCTTATGCTGACAAGTCCTGCAAGGTTAGCAGGACTGTATAGAACTCTGCTGTTGCATGGCTGTTTCTTCTAACAAAGGAGCTTGGGGGTTTCTGCATGGTGCTACAGACACCTGCCCTGCCATGGTAAAGAAAACCTCTGCCATTCCTTTCCCAATCAGGATTACTCTCTCTTCTGTGTCTTCAGACAGCACTGAGGCCAAGTTCTGGCCTAAAGGGGCCTGGAAGCTTTGAAGTCCCGCACTGCTTTCATCAGCTTACCTCTGAGCAGCACTGGCTGCTTATAAAGTTGCCCAAGTAGGTTTGGATGCCAGGTCCTGGCTAAGTTGTGCTCCAAGAGATACTGCCTTCTTTTGTTAAAGCTGGAATTTACCCTAGGGGCTCAAATGCTCACAGTAGCAGTGCCAAATGTCAATAACTGGGTGATGCACAGCACAAGGAGTCACTGATGTTGGCTGCAGGGCAGGAAAGGGGGTGAGAATGACAGGGAAGCCCTTTGTGCAGGGAACGGGATGGAAAATCCTTCATGGGACAGCTGATCTCACAAAGATTAATTTCTTTCTTAGATCCATTTATTCTGGGTCTATGCCTTCCAGCAGAGATTAAATTTGGGGAAAATTTGGAGCTGTTAAACTGGAACATTTTCTCAATGAAGGTGCAAAAAACAAGAGATCATGTGTGGAGCTAGGAAAAGAGTTGAAAGAGACAGTTCCCTATCTGCCCATCTGCCCTCATCTCCATCCATCTGGAGGTGCTCACAGGGCAGAAGAGAAGGGAGAAGGATTTGTGTGCTCAACATCCGCCTCGATTTCTGAGCACCGTGCCAGACAGAAGGTTTTGCTGTGTCCCCGCAGCCCCGAGCAGCAAGACCCTTGGAACAGGGGCCCATCTCCTGGGTGCCCCCAGGAGACCCGAGCCGAGTCGCCCCCTCCTGCATGCCACTCTCATAGCTGATCTCTGCATCCCTCTTTTATTCCTCTCCCTCCTTCCCTCCACTGTCCTCAGCTTCTTTCACCACACTCCTCATTCCTTCATCCTCCCCTTTTCTGCGCTCCCCTCATCCCTCTGCCCATCTCCTTGCGCCTCCCTCTCCCGCTTTTATTCTCCATCCCGGTATCTCCCCCCGCTCATCTTTGTTCTCCTGCCCTGTCGTCCACCCCCTCCTTCCCCTCCTTCTCCTGCCGGTGTTTCCGTGCGTGGCGCCCATTGGCTGCCGGCACCCGTCCCCCGGTACCGGCGCTCCGCTCCCTGCCCGAGCCCCGCGGAGGGTGGGGGCTGCGTGGGGAGACGCGCGTGGGGCTGAGGGGCCGCGCATCCCCCGCCCGCCCCCGGCCCCTTCCCACGCCGGGCGCGGCGGGGGCGATGGGCAAGTCCGGCGAGGAGGACTCGCGCCTCCGGTAGCGCCCGGCGGGGCTCGCTCCCTCCGGGAGCGCTTTGCTCCGGCGCGTTTAAGAAAGAGGAAGGGAGAAAAGCATGACACGGATTCTCCCGGGGAAGCGGAGGAAAATGTACATCCCGACGACATGTAAGTACCCGGCGGCTCTGCCCGCTCTTCCCAGATGTCTCCCGCGAGCATGAGTCCATGCAGAAGTTAAGTCCGCAGTTCCAGAGAAGAAAACCTGCCAGCCACCCCTCCACTCCCGGCCCTCCAACTCTGTCCAGCCTGGTCCTGACGAGAGAGCTCAACCCCGAGGTGAGACGGGAGAGTCCTGAGCTGGATCGGGGCCGTGGGAAACAGGGGGGACAGGAGGGGAGGGGGTCAAGGGAGGGTGGTGCATGTTATTGGGCTGTGTTGTCCCTCCCAGCTGCTATTCATGGTTTGTTACCAGGACTAGGCTCAGCTTTCAGCATCCACCTCCTCTCATTCAATGCAGAAATATATATTTCTATTTTTCCTCCTAAGGAAAGAAGTAGTGCCCATTTCCCATCTCCTCTTACCTCTCTGCCTTCTTCCTGCTCTCCAGCTGCATGAACCAGGCATATTCTGGTAGCACCTGTTAGAGGATCCCAAGCCTCTTGCAACAGGTGCTGTCCACATTAGGAACAGATCCAAGTGGATGCCAACACACTGTCAGTCTGAGGCCAGGGTTGCTCACCAGCTCATACCTATGCATGTGCTGCCAAAGCAACCAGCAGAGTGGATCCAAACTAGATGGAGCACTGGTGCCCAGTGTTTTTTCTGCCAAACTAGACAAATGTGTGACATGGCATTTGAGCTGGTACATGGTACTTGACAAAGTTAGAATGGCAGCAACAAACCACACCTGCTTAAAGATCAAGTTTCTCCTCTGCAGCTGCCTAAGCAGGAAAAGGAATTTATAGGAAATACATGCTTTTTTTTGCACACCTTAGCATTTTTTATAGGGCTTCTGAAGCTACCCTGAAGCTGGATTTACTCTATTGCTAAACAGCAGTCTGAACAGCTGGCTTTGAGGTCTGGATCCCAGACACTTCTCCAAATGCTTTGCAGCTCCACCAGGAGTATCTCCATCCATATTTGGTATTTGTAAGGCTCAAAATGTTTGGCCTTTTTCTTCTTTAAATTCCTTTGCATGCAGAAGGAACATGCAAAGGGATTCCTATATATGTCTTCATCTTTTAGAGGATCATCCTTTTATGAACATACTGTTCTGGCTTCTGCCACCTTTTGTTGGGATCTTTGCCCCTAGAGCAGCACTGTCCTCCTCTTTTCTCCAATGAGTGATTTGTATCACTAGAACAAAATTGGAAAAAATATCAGAGGAAACATCCTTGAACTTAGAGTTTCAAACCACTTCCTACTCTGCTTATTCACTGCAGCCACTCATGATGTGTGGGACAACCCAATGCTGCAGGACCCCATGAGATGGGCTTCTGTCAGGACAGTCACAGCACAAGACACCTGAAAATTAAATACATCTAAACAATCCCAGTCCTTCAAAGCTCAAATGCTCTAAAGCAGGAAACATTTATACAATAGCCTGTAGAAATGGCCTTAAGACGTAGTTGCTCAACTGTGTTTATATAGGGTCTCTCAGATGAGGTTCCTTCAGCATAAAATTTAATACATCTCTGGAGTTTGCCTGTCCGATGTCCAAGGAATCCATCTAAAGCTCAAGTCTCCCCTAGGGTTTCCAGAACATGGAATGGCACCTACAAAATAAACAAGTAACAAAACCCCAACCAACCAATAAAAAACCCAAAAAACCCCAAACAAACAAAAACAAACAAACAAACAAAAACAACAAAAACAAACAAACAAACAAACAAAAAACCCCAAACACTGTAATATTAGACATTTGAGAAGAACATTGTGATGCTACAAAAAATCACATCTGCAAGAAACGTCTCTGGAGTGTCTCTGGCTTCCTGAAAGTAGTTAAGGTTGAGAGTCCTTTCCTTTGACATCCCCAGTTCTAATTTCAGTAGAAGAGGAGCTTCAGACCCCTAAGAGATTTGTTGAGATATGAAAAGGTGAGCCTCAAGGTCCCCATGCACTTCCACCAAGTCATTCTCCCTTCCAAGGACCTGATTCAGGGGGATGACCCTGTCAGTCCACACTTCCAGAAAATTTTTCCAGAGCTGGAGTAATCCTGAAAGAACCACAAATCTCCCCTGCATTAGGTTTTCCAGGGTGTCTCTGGTCCATGGTATGTGCTGGGCTCTGTATTATGTGTATGGAGCACTGACAAAAGGCACGTCCATCCCTTAACTGTCCCTTCTCTCCCTGCAGCTCCTCACCAGTGTCAGCAGTGAGCTGGTGGTGAATGGGGAGCTTGTTTGCTCAAGGCTGTCTCTGAGTGAGCTGAGTGCTGTTTCCATGCCAAACCCTCATGTGTCGAGCAATTTGGCTCCTCAGCTTAGGAAGGCTGGGACGCTGCTTTGGTGTTGCAAACAGGTGGGGCAGGCAAAGCCTCTCCCATTAGCAGTGTGTTGCAGTGTGCAGAAGGAGAGGGAGAGAATGTCAGAGAGAACAGGAGAAAAAGAGACAAGAGGGATCTGGACTGATCCCTTTTGGTGTACCCAAAATTATCTTTCCTTTACTCTCAAACTGGCATAACACAAGCCAGCTGTCCTTCAGTTCAGGTGCTGAGCTAAGCCTCTCTGCTTGGATTGAAAGTGCTTTCCCTTCTCCTGTGAGGCTAGCAATAATTTGGCCAGTCTAAAAAGAGCTTCAGCAAGCAGGAGAATAAATACTCAGAGAATAGGAAAGTCAGAGTTGGAAAGGCACTTTGTTACTGGATGCTTTTCCCTCTTTTAAAGCACCTGCCACTCATAAATGAGAACCAGGCCCCTGGTGACCATGTCCTCGGTATTGGATCCATTAGCAGAAAATGAAAAATTTCCCTGTCCTTATGCTAGTCTGTTGTTCTTTCCCCAGAGGATCCCTCACTAGAGGGGAGGCCTAAATTGAGCCCTGTTTGTCCCTCTGTGTCCACTGTGCATTGCAGGACTAGATGGATTTGATATTGTCCTAGATTTTCCAGAATCTACTGGCTTCCATAAACTCCCCTTGATATCCCATGCCTACCCATACCTAACACACAGTTAATGTGGTGATTTAACCTGTGGCTTGTTCAGCTGCCATATCCCCAGTATCAATGTTTTTTTTCTCTTCCTCTCAGCTCCAGATTGCTAACTGATCCTGCAAGGACACTGCCCCCTGCCCTCTTCCCTGCCTCTGCTATGGACACTTCTGCTTTTAGCCTCCCCACACCGGCAGTGTTGGAGGAGGGGAATGCCTCCAGTAGCTGGGCAGGCTTTACTACCCCCAACAGCTCCTCCACTGTCAGCCCTGGTGTAGTTGTCAGTGGTGTCCTCATCCCCGTGGTCTACCTCATTGTCTGTGTGGTGGGATTGGCTGGGAATTCCCTGGTCATTTATGTGGTCCTGCGGCACTCCGTGAGCGAGTCGGTGACCAACGTGTACATCTTGAACCTGGCCCTGGCTGATGAGCTCTTCATGCTGGGCCTGCCCTTCCTGGCTGCGCAAAATGCCCTGTCCTACTGGCCCTTTGGTTCTTTCATGTGCCGCCTGGTGATGGCCGTGGATGCCATCAACCAGTTCACCAGCATCTTCTGCCTGACGGTGATGAGCGTTGACCGCTACCTGGCTGTGGTCCACCCAGGGAAGTCCTCCAAATGGAGGACAGCACGGGTGGCCAAGGCCGTGAGTGCAACCGTGTGGGTGCTGTCTTCCATAGTGGTGCTGCCCGTGGTTGTCTTCTCAGATGTCCCTTTAGGGATGAGTACTTGCCACATCCAGTGGCCAGAGCCTGCCTCGGTGTGGAGAGCTGGCTTCATTGTCTACACTGCTACCCTGGGCTTCTTTGGACCACTGCTGGTGATTTGTCTCTGCTATCTCCTGATTGTCGTGAAGGTTCGCTCCTCTGGCAGGCGGGTGAGGGCTCTGTCCTCCAAGCACAAGCTTTCAGAGCGCAGAGTGACCCGCATGGTGGTGACTGTGGTGGCTGTCTTTGTCCTCTGCTGGCTTCCCTTCTACGTCCTCAACATAATCAATGTTGTCTGCCCGCTGCCAGAGGAGCCATCCCTCTTCGGAGTCTACTTCCTTGTGGTGGTGCTGCCATATGCCAACAGCTGCGCCAATCCCATCATCTATGGCTTCCTCTCCTACCGCTTCAAGCAGGGCTTCCGCAGGGCCATCTTCAGGCCATCCCGCCGAGTCCAGAGCCAGGAGGTGCCAGCATGCTCCCCAGAGAAGATTGATGACGAAAGGGAAGAGGGTGAGATCAGCAAGATCACCAGGAATGGAAATGACAGGCAGGAGCGCCCTCTAAGCAGCGGAGAAGGAAAAAGCAATGAGCAAAAACCACTCCCTGAGGAGCCTGCGGGATGCGAAAAGAGCAGCAAGTTGCATGTCAGTTATTTATGATGAAAGGAGTGGTGCAGGGGAAAGAGACATTGGAACATGGGATCCCCTTCACCTTCTCTGCTTTCAAAGGCAATGGGAGACAATACAAGGGAATAATAAAGTCCAAGAGTAGGTTTAAAGATGAATAGGGCTCCATGATCTCATGGAAGAAGCAAGGTGTTGTTCTTGGCTTTGGAATAGGCAGCTGAAGTTTGTGTGGTACCAGTGTTACCAGAAATTGGTAAAAAATAAAAACTCCTTAACACTAATGTAGCGTTAAGAAGCAGACATTCTTTATTTGGCTGGATGCACAAGGGGGTATCTCCTTCAAAATATCATGCATGCTGAGTACAAAAAAAGCTCCTATTTATGTACTATATTTTACATACATGCTCATTGATTTTCCCAGTATAAACATACATATGATCTTAAGTTCCCCAAAACCATTAACATATTTTCCCTCTCCTTTATGTATGTGTTCTTCTGTCCTGGGAGTCACGTGGTGGTCCCTTGTGGTTGGTGACCCCAAAGTTATACCTGACTGCCTGGTGAACTGGTAAAAGTTGGCAAAACTGGGCTGGTTGCTTTCGAGTTCTTCTTCCTACAGAATAAACATTGTGCAGTTCCATAGTCAGTGGCTTTTGAAGAATAACCATTGTATTTGCCACCAGGAGCAAACTATTTTTCTTCTGGCAATGCCAGGTAAAGAGCAGACTGCATTTAGGGAGAGCTGAAGAGGTGATGGGCACTGAGAGTACAGAGAAGCAAGGTCAGCCGTAGAACGATGATCTGCCCTTAGATGATCCAGCTTTGGAGGGCATAGGCTGCCATCTCATGGTGGAACCTTGAGGAAGTCTCATGGTGGAACCTTGAGGAAGTCCCCAAATGGCATATACCACATATAGGCAACCTGGTGCCTTGACTTATAAACATGAGAAGTGGTCTACCTTAAAAGATTAACAGAAAGGAGAAATGTCTACAGCAAAGACATACCAGCCAGTTGCATGCATGGCTGGCCGTTCTCTAGTTCTTCAAAAAATCTTGGGGACTGATTTCCTGCCTGTGCTGGTAATGGTTAGAGACCACTTACTGCTCAAAACCCTCCTCTTTCTTTTCAGAGCTCTGGGATTCTGGGCAGGATGATAAGACTTACCTGGGAGAAAAAATTGGAACATTTCTTTCCTGCACCTCGCATTCCTCAAGGTTCTCCTGGTGCTTCTGCACCCTGGTGGGAGGTAACAAGTGTAGAGAAGAAGACAATGAAACATGAGTTGGAGGCAGCATTTCTTTTCTTCTCCTTAAGCTTTACTATAAATAAACAGTCTCTGGACTTAGAGGACCAGGTGGGCAAAACTGTTCCGTGTGTTTAGGGGAGATATGTGTTTAGGTATAGATATGGCTCTCCTGAGAATACACAATGTCTTTGAGTTGAGTCGATCTCTGTATGGAGTCATGTTTGGCTGATACAGGAGGTGAAGGCATCTCTCAGTCCAGGATGGGGGCAGGAAGCAGACAGAGGTCAGGGGATCTCCAGTGTGTGAGCACTGTGGTTGTAAAGAGTATGGGCAATACTAGGAACTGACTTACCCTGTGGGAAGTGGTAGAGTATTTGGTGAACAAATGAGGTGTCTGCATGTGCACAAAGGTAGCTGTAAGCAAAACTTTGTTCCCTGGACTGCACATGTTTGGGGATGGCTGAAGAGGACCAGAGACCAAGGAGTCAGGACTGGTGGGGTGCCAGTCCTGGGCACTGATGCTCATCTGCGGAGGGTGTGCACATATGTGCAGGGCTACCTGCGGGGGTATGCATGTGTGTCAGTGTACACTAACACAGATGAGGGAGTGTGTTTATGTAATTACAGGATGTTTAATTGCAGATACAAGTGTTTGGATAAGAGTTGGAGAGCAAGTGTGCTGCTGTGGAGTTGGATGAGTGCTTACTTCTGCACACTGTAGGTGGGCCCATCTGAGTGTGCAGGCTAGAGGAGCAGCACTGTACAAGGGTGGGTGGGATGAAGGTCTCCCTCTCCACTTTGGCTTCATTCCTGCAGCTCTGCTAAAATATCCATCCCCACACTTTTAGCTTCTATTGAATGCTATTGCTAAGTTACAGCCACCGAAATGACCCTCATACCACAGCCCTTTGGGCAGTTTTCTCTACAAACAATTTTGAGAAATGGGGAGGAGGGACCCACCAGAAGTATACATGCCTCCTGAGGTCAGAAGGTGTTGCAGGAGGTGACTTGTGGAGCATCAATTATGGGAGCTGGCTGGGTAATGGAAAGATGTCTCACAGATCACTTGAGAAAAGGTAAGAGAAGGTAAGGGGTGGCATGGGGTTGGGTGTGCTGGGACAGAAGCCAAAAGACCTGGACTGGGAAGCAGAACAGTCTTCAGTAGCTGAGGATCGTGGGAACAGAACTACTTTATGAGGAAGCAAAAGTCAAGGTCATGCAAAGGCAATGTGAGAAGACATGAAGGCCTGGCAAGCCTAAGAACTGCAGTGCAGGACATCCGACTTTAGATAAGGATTGTCACAGGGTGTCAGATGAACAGACATCTCCTAGCCAGGTTAGATAGCAGAGGAAGGGTAGGCAGGGACTGCAGACACAACCAACCAAAACACATTCAACTGTGCCCTCAGCCACTGCTACTGCCATCACCCCCATGACAAAGATTGTCCCCCTGAAATCCTACATCCTCATGTTTCCTCTTTAAGCCTGGGATGTTGGTGCCAAGCTGTCCATGCCTGCAGGCTCAGCCTCGGGAGCTGAGCTGCCTGCCAGACCACACAGGAACTGCTCAGCTGCCCTTACAGCACTCCCCTGAGCATCGACAGTCAGACACCCAGGTGTGCAGGCTCAGCTCATGTGGAAAAGAAAGAGCGTGGTGGCCAGTTGCTATCTTCTGCTATGTCTTTACATCTTTTTCCCCTTCAATCAAGGCATCAGCTTCCCACACCATGGGCCCCAGTCAGAAAAGCAGCCAAACTATTCATGGGCGTGGGATAAAGTTCGTTGGACTAAAAAAAGCCTCTGTTTTAGTTTCTTGGGGAGCTCCCGCAATATTCACTGGATGAAACACAACCAAGAAATCCTGGCAGAATAAGGATGGACTGCCAAAGCTTTTGCCTCTATAAGGGGCAGCAAGTGGTGGAAAGATTAAAATGGTCAGATAGATGGACAACACAGCACTTTAAACTCCGGTCTGTGTTGCTTCTCTTGCAGAGAAGAGCAGAGCCACGTGAATGCTGGACTCCCCTGGCAGAGCAATCCCAGTAGGACAGAGCAGAGACTGTATTATCTGAGGAGCTTGTAGCACTGCTTGTGGTTGATGACCAGGCACTGAAGAAGATGTGATTGTGATCAAGGACCTTGCAGGAAGCAGCTCAGGAGGATGGGGGGCAGATAGAGGATGGGTTTCCTTATCCATGGAGTGGCAGCCCAGCTGCCGTGGGGAGATGGGGGGAGTTCCCCAGCTGCCAATATATTTAACATAGACAGTCTCCTTCACCACTAAATGGAGCTAAGACTTCATTTCACATGCCTTTGCAGCTCCATCTGCTGCAAATCACCATTCAAAAAACTCCTTCGACTGGCTGGCTCCTTAAAATACCAACATTCCTTAAGAGCCCAAGTACTGCAATGCCAGCACCAAGCAAGTGTGCCAAGGAGACATCATTTTGACACATGGAATCTGGGCTCCCACCAAGGCAGCTCTGCAGGCCTGTGTGCTGGGGCAAACAAAATGTGTTCCAGAGAGATCTGAAAAAAAAATAATCTTTAGATGAAATAGTGGTTTAAAAGAAAAGAGACACAAGCATCACATTTTTCTATGTTGTGTTTTCTTCACCCCCTTAGGCTGTATCCTGTTTTGCAGTGACAAATTGGGGAAATAAAAAATGAAGATTAACAGAAAATAAGACTGGGGGAGGGGAAGGAAAAGGTATTGTCCAAAATTCATGAAGAGAAAACAAATACCACAAAATTCTTCAAATTATCACCACTGATTTAAAGGTTGGTTTTCATAGGAACAGGCATTTGGAATGATGATCAGGAGGTCGCTGCCTCCTGACCCCTGCTCTTTCCTCAGCACTGTCTCCCTGTTGGTGAATCCCCAGAGTTTTCTGTGGTAATGGCATTAATCTGACTGCCCTTGTGATCCCTCTCCTTAACGATGCTGTGGTTGACTCTGGGCAACCCAGAAGCCATGGGGACCATGTGCTAAATGAAAGTCTGGATGTGTTCAGGGGGGATTTGCTCCAGTCAGCTATGGAAAAGAGCTTTTCTATTCTGGGTGCAGAGACACAGAGATAAGGGCACCATCAAGCCCTGTGCTGCACAAAAGGTTTCATTCTTGTCACGTAGTGATCAGAGCTGCAAGACTAGAAAGGGCTGCAATGATTTCAGCAGCATTGTGCAATCCTCTTCCCAGCAAACGTGTGATTACAGATGGGGTGATAGAGACACAGGGAACCCATTCTGTCAGAGTGTCTGTGCACACACAACAGAGCATACAAGAGCGGAGATAAACATTTGTGTGTGCTGTGTATGCATGCATGCAAATGAGTGTTTATTGCACGATTGCATGTGTGTGTGTGTGCATGTATGTGGATGTGTGTAAACACACAGACATATTCATGCCATGCATGGATTCAAGCACAGGGCCATGCATGCAGGTGCCCACACACCCAGACCTGTGTGTACCGCTCAGCCTAACCTCAAACACCAAGAACATGGCACATTCAGCTTAATGCATGCAGGCTCAGGCTGGGAGAGGGCAGCTGCACCTTGCCAAGAGCCCTCCACACACACACACACACACACACGCACACACACACACCAAGCCTAACCACACAACACTGGTCTGGGGCAGCTGCTGACCTGGTCAGTGAGACCTTTTTGCCCTGCAGTGGATCTTCATGAGGAAAACTGGAAGGGTGGTGAATTTGTGATGGCAGAGGGGATCCAGTGTGGAGAACCGAGGGTGTGTTTCCAGGCTGTTACCAACACAGCCCACACATAATGTCATTTGAAGCTGTTGTTAGGGCGCTGCTGTATTTGTCATCAGCAGGGAATCACAGCAGCTCAGATCAGGCAACAGCAAAACTGTCCAGGCTATGTTCTGCTTTCTGCTGTTGTATAGGGCTGTGGAACAAGGGGGTGTGTGGAGTGGGCAGGAAACACCGTTGTAATGGAGTAGCCTCTAGAGAAAAGAGACAGGGAAATACAAAAAGGGGAAACACCTTTAAAAAGAAGATGCTCCTAGCTCTCCTGAGGACCCGACAGAGAATTGAAATGCTTTATCTGCTCGAACGAGTGGAAAATATGCAAATATTTGCTCATGAAAAATCGCTGTTCTTTGCCTTCCCAAGCATAAACTATGCAAACGCTACACACCACGCAGCCGGCTCACGCAGATCTCACACTCAGCACGTCATGCACAAACAGCCACACGCGCACACCCAGTGCGTCAGTGCAGCCGGGCCAGGACACGTGCCTGGGCCGCAGCACCGCAGCCCTCTCTCCATGACAAACAGGGCTGCGGGGCACGGCAGTACGGATGCAAACAGTGCCTGGGGAGGCAGTGCCCCGCCGCGGCTCCCCGCGGTGCTCTGGAGCCGCAGCGGCTGCGGAGCTGCGGGCGGAGGGGACGGGAGAGCCCATCCCGGTCCTGCCTTGCTCTCGGGCACGCGGGACACCGCCGGGGGACACGCAGGGGGCGGGAGGGGCAGCGCGGGGTGGCGCCGAGCGGCGCGGGGGACGCGGGGATCGCGGGGGACGCGGGGATCGCGGGGATCGCGGGGGACGCGGGGATCGTGGGGATCGCGGGGATGGTGGGGATCGCGGGGGACGCGGTGGACGCGGGGGACGCGGGGATCGCGGAGGACGCGGGGATGGCGGGGGACGCGGGGATCGCGGAGGACGCGGGGATGGCGGGGGACGCGGGGATCGCGGGGGACACGGGGATGGCGGGGGACGCGGGGATCGCGGAGGACGCGGGCGCTGCGCGGCGCGTCCTGCAGAGGGGGATCGGACACCGGCCGGCAGCCGGGGATCGCGGCCGGGCTCCTGCCCTTCTCACGGGGTAAGCACTGTGCTGCCAAGCGGCGCTGGAGCCCCTCCGTGCTAGCCCCCCGCGGGTCAGACATCCAGAGGGACCTGCGCGGGCATGAGAGGTGTGCACTCGCAGCACAGAGAGACGCTTGTGTCCTGGCTGCATCAAAAGAGACGTGGCCAGAAAGTCGAGGGAGGTGATCCTGCCCCTCTACTCCTCTCTGGTGATACTCCATCTGGGGCCCCCAGTATATGAAAGACATAGACCTGTTGGAGCAGGTCCGAGACAACAGTGATGAAGATAATCAGAGGGCTGGAGTATCTGTCCTATGAAGACAAATTGAGAGAAATGGGGCTGTTAGCCTAGAGAAGAGAAGGCTCCATGGAGATCTTATAGTCCCTTCCAGCACCTAACAGGAGACTCCAGGAAAGCTGGAGAGGGACTTTTCACAAAGGCATATAATGATAGGACAAAGGGGAATGACTTTAAAATAAAGGAGGTCAGGGTTAAGGAAATGAGGATAGTGAGACACTGGCACAGGTTGCCCAAAGACACTGTGACTGCCCCATCCCTGGCAGCATTCAAGGCCAGGCTTTCAGCAATCTGATCCACTGGAATATGTCCATGTCAGGGGGCTTGGAATTAGATGATCTTGAAGGCTGTTTCCAACTCAAACCACCCTTTGATTCTATAATTCTGTCATGTCAGTCTGGTTCCTGTAGTGGAAAGCACCCCTCACAGATCCAAGAATTTGTGAGCTCTAAACACCAGCTTCCTTGCCCATCCACCTGTCCACTCATGCCCCATCACCCTCCACAAAGTTTTTCTTTGGTGAGAAAGCTCATGGCTATCTCTGAAGAAAGTTTTCTCACCAAACTGCTGAGCACCTGTCTCAGCACTCCTTGTGAGAGCTGATATGCCCTGAGTAGTGATCTACTGTTAAGTGATACAAGCAGGTCTGGGAGTGTGCATAGGAGAGGATGGCAAAGGAGTAAAATTTTCGGGGTCTACACTGGAGTGGATGGGAGGAGGGGGCCTTCAGGTGCATGCAAATGCAGAGAACCAGAAAGCAGCAGGCTTGTCTGAAGGTTATTTTTAAGAACTGATTCAAACAGGCTGCAATGTCACCTGGTATATCCCACCCAGCCAAGCTGCTGGATCTAGATGTTCACAAGGCAGCAAACTCTTTCTGGTTGCAGTAGGGATAGTCCTTGTAATTATACGTCAGAGTTTGGGGGGATACCAGCACAGTTCTTTGGACTCACAGGCAGAATCACAAGGCAAAGGTAAGAGATGGGACACCCAAATTGGGAAAGCTGCTGGTGAGGAGAGGGGCAGCCTGAGTGATGCTGTGAGGCATCTCCAGCTGATGCAGCTTGTGAGCCAGCGTCTGATTCCTTCTCTGCTCAGCTGTGTCACACAAGGACTGGCTGTGGGGGCACTGGGAAGTAGAAGACAAGCTCACACTTTCAAGCTCAGTACTGGAGACTGCCAGGTCTAGCAACAGCTTTGCTCAAGCAACGAGTGCAGGTGAACAGTTCTTCCAGCTGCTCCTCAGCCACGTGGCATTTCAGCAATGCACAGCAAAAAAATAAAAAAGCAGAGGCTCTGCCAGGCCTTGATCTCTGTGTGAGACAGGCCAGGCCGCCAAGCAGCACACAGCAGAAATCCCTGCTGGCAGAAGTGCCTTCAAACTCAGCAGCAGCCTGCATAAAGCCAGGGAATGTGTCATTTCTGCTTGGTCCAGGCCCCACATGGGCAGAAGCCTAAAGAGAAATGCAGCCATGCAACTGACATCTAATAGTCTGCCCATCCTTAGAGATGTAGAAAATATTCTGGGCCACTGATTTTGAACCAGGCTGGCTCTTGAGTAACAAGGGCTGAGTGTTTCACAAGCCCTGTGCACAGACATGGAGTCCACAGGCTAGAAAAGATTCATCTAATCAGAGAATCACAGGATAGTTTGGGTTTGAAAGAACCTTTAAAGGTCATTTATTCTTCCCAGCCTCTAATTCTGCCTGGCCAGAGATGATCAGCTATTCTGGTACAGCAGTGACAGCTGCTGTTACAGGATAACCTGAGGGCACCACAAATTACTGAAGCAAAAAACCACATTGCCACCTTTTAATGTTTCGGGTGTACCCCTCCCCATTTACAGGCACTATGGAAGGGCAAGGCAAAGGTACCCAGGAGCAGCCAGGCTGCAATGGAGAGGAGGCAAGTGCAGAGAGCAGTGCTGCTGATCCCTTCCCAGCTCTTGAAACACGTGTGAGCTCTCTCTCCAAGGGTAGTAACAGCAGTAGCCAAAAGCCTGAACTTTGCTTCCAGAAGGAATCAGCTGTTGAACTGAGCAAATTGTGATGCTGGGTGGGTGGAAGAAGGGAGGGAGGAAGGGAGGGAAGAAGGGAGAGAGGGAGGGAGAGCCAAGCCTGACACGGACCAGAGCAGGAGGGGAGGCACTCACAAAGGCCTTGGAGGCAGGATGAAAAAGACAGTAATTACATAAGAGCACTTGGCGAGCATCTGGCTGGAGTCAGCCGGCCCCGCCGGCCCTCCCTCCCGCGCTGCTAACCAGGAGCAGCTGAGGATACGGGATACCGATAACTCAGCGCCGGACCCCTGCGGAGGGGAGCGGAGGTAAGAGGTGCTCCGCTTCCCCTCCTGCCTTGTGATGCTCTAGATTAGGGGCAGAGGAGTGGGGAGCATGGGGAAGGAAAGGCAGCTGTGGAGGAGAAGCAGCCAGGAAGGGGAAGAGAAGCAGATCTTCCTCTGGCTCTTGGTCAGATGATACCCCTTCACTTTGGAGGTTTGGTGAGGGAGGAGCTGTGAAGGGTGAGTGTTTGTGTGTGGACGTGTGCTGTGTATATGCAACAGGGCAGATGATCCACATGTGCCACAGGGGAGCTGAGCTGTACACAGGGGTTAGAGAGGAGAGAAAGCATCAATTTCTTTCTCCATACCTGTGCTAGAGGGGGGTAATAGGATCGATGTAGCCACTGAGGTAGAGACAATCTTTGTCCCCCTACTTTGCCAGTGTTGTGGTGGGCACAAGAAAAGGGAGGAAATGGAGGAGGAGGAGGAGGAGAAAACAGCTTCTTTTGAGTGAGGATCATTGCAATATAATCTGGACAGTGCTTGCCTGGGCTGCCTCCAAGGCAAAGTGTGTGATGAGGGAGAGAGAAGATTGTTTGGTATACAAAGTGCTCTCAGGCTTGAGCTGCACTTTAAAGCATGTCTGGCAGAGGTTTACTGGATAGAATTCTCAAAATCTCCTGTAAATGTGACTGCCCTGGCAAAATATTGCTGGTACACACTGTTCCCTTTGGGGAGCAGGGCAATATTACCCTAGCAAAAGTGTCTTTACTGGCATAAACTTCTGCCCAGCTGGGCAATGCCACCAGAGCACGTCTTTGTTTGCTGGCTCCTGGCAGGTCCCTATTCAGCCCAGCTGAGACATTAAATACAAAGTCCTGCTCGCTCCCCACTGTGAGCTGTTCTTGCAGTCAGATGAGATACAGGCAAAGGGCCCAGCTGATGAGATCCCCCATGAAGAACATCTGCTTGGCTGTGAGCAGCTCAGGAGTGCAGATGGAAATGTGGGACGGAAATGAGGACAATGGCCTCCCTGCTACCTGTTTCCCTTGGAAAGGTGAAAGAGGCCAGGCATAAGGCCAAGAACCCCAAGTGGGTAATGTCATGTTTGGAAATAAGCCAGGCAGGAAAACCTGAGCAAGGCACTGCAGAAGCTTTTCTGGGACAGAGAGGGACTTTGTCTTCCATATCAGTTTCCAAGTTTTCATGCACCCCAGAAAATCTTCTTGCCTTTAATAGTACTGTCAGCTGCCAAAATTTCCACCAGCAGGAGCCAGGAGTAGACAATACAACTCATCACAAAACCCCTCTTCTGTCAGCTGGTAAGGCTCCATTAGCAAGAAGTATTGCCCTAACCTTTTCCCCCCCCACCCCCTCCCCCCCATTTCCCAAACAGGGAAACTGAGGCACAGGCAAACGTGGACAACTTGCAATGGATTTCATTGCACGTCAGTGCTGGAGCCTGGTAAGGAACTCATGCACTCAGTAGTGCATTTCTCCGTCCTCTTCCTGCCCTGGTTGGAAGGCATGTTCACTCCATGTTCATTGAGCTCCAGGCTGACAGGCAGCCTGAGAATATCTCCAGGCCTCCCAGCCCCCATTCTTCCCTTCCCCCTCAGCTCACAGTGCATATTTTCCCAGAGTTTTCCGCTTGCTTCTCCAGTGGTTCTGGGGTCCTGCCAAACGCCAGCCACTCTCTGGGAAGCAGGGCCTCCCGTTCCTAAACCAAACAAATGGGAGAAGGGAAACAGGAAAAAAAAAGTCCCAGCACACGTAGACACACTCAAAACCCGATTCCCCTTAGAAACCTTGGAGCCTTCTGCAGCTCCTCTTGGAAATTGCAGGAGGCACAGTGCTGACTTGGCATTTCTGACCCCTGCAGAACAGAGATATTGTCCATGCTTCCTCCTGCCTTCAAAGACCTGTATGTGCACACCCCCCCATACCCCCCCACCCCACACATACCCAGAGTATAAACACCCAGGTCAGTTTTGGTGCAGGATAGAATCTTCTAATCCTCTTCCCAACCGACTCTGCTGTGTGAGAAAAATTTCCCATCCCTCCTACCCTGCATTCTTCTCCCCTCGAAAATGCCCTTCATTCCAATGCTCTGGTGCATCCACATCATGCTTACCCCAAAGGCACAAGCTTGTCAGCTTGGCGCCAAGCTGGGGACAATGGTCACAGCCAGGGTTTGTTTCCAGATCCCCAGTTTTCCTGGCAGGCTGCTCCCAGCAGCCAGGCACACCCCTCCCATCCAAAAAGCTCAGCCTGGGACCTAAACATGGGATGTGACCGGGGGATGACACGTGCTGGAGCACAAGGCTTGGGGCTCTGCCCAGGCAGAGGGGATGACCAGAGAGGAAAAAAACTGATGCCTCTCCCAGCTGGCGGCTGCTCCTGCTAGAAATATCATGCCTGGGGCAAGAGGCCACAGTGATGTGCAGGAAAAACAATGCAGGAGAGAATGAAAGAAAAGAGAGAGAAAGAAAAGTTTGGGGACTATAAGGGGGTCAGGCACAGCTGGGGAGAGAGCATGGCCAAGCATGGCCATGGGACAAGGGACTAGCACAAAGGACTGAGGGCAGAATTCTGTAGCATACTGCCTGAAGGAAAGTGTGTCTCTTGCACCAATGCACCTTACCTTGTGCATCCTGGGGTGCCAAGGGTGGGACACGATCCTGCTGCTGTCCACCCCTTGCACAGGGCACAGCCTGCGCTGCCTGCATTTTTTGCTGGCTGGAAGCGAAAAGGCAGAGAACAAAACCAAACTAACAACATGTACAAGGAAAAGGCGCTTCCTAGGAAAGAGTTAAAAAGACGCTGAAACCCAAGCCGGTTTAGGATGGAGAGCACCCAAAGCCAGGGAGGGAGAGGAGAGGGGAGGGAGCCGGTCTAAGCCTGGCTCGAGCACCCAGCCAGCGCCGAGCAGTGCCTGTGCCAAGGGCCGGCTTCCTTAAAGCCATGGGCGCGGGGGCCTGCCCTGCCGGCGGAGGGGAGCCGGCGGGCAGGGGCTGGGAAGCGGAGAGGGGAGCCTCTGGCCCCCGGGGTGAGCAGCTGCGCCGTGCCGGGGCAGGCAGCGGGATGGGGGACACGGGCTGCGAGAGGGGCTTTCTCAGCTGCTTGGCGTGTCTGTCTTTCGTAAGCATACTTCTCTGCAGCCTGCAGAGCTTCACGTCCTTCAGCCTCGGCAGCGAAGCAGCTCCCCTCTGGTCTGCCCAAAGGCTGCGCTGGGGAGCCGGCTGTCCCCTTGGGAAGGTGCTGGGGCTTGCCTGAGAACACACTGGGCATGGGTGGGAGGGGACCGAGCTGCCAGGACGGGTGGGATTTGGTGAGGGAAAGGAGGGGGCTGAAGTTCCCAGCCCACAGGAGAAGAGGCATCTCTTCTGGGACATGGGGATTTTGGGGTTAGATTCCTATAAAGAGTTGATATGCAGTGATAGGAGAGCTGGAGAATTTTTTTACAGCGCTTCCCACAGATTGAGCAGCCTACCAAAGCATGCTTTTGCTCAAGAGCTGTTGAGGTTGGACTCAATGACCCTAGAGGTCTTTTTCAATCTTAACAATTCTATGATTCTGTCTCCTTCCTCTATCCCAGCCTGGGGACTGAATATTCTAGTGGCTTAAATGGTTTGCCTAGTCAGCATCAAGCCTTGGCCAAGGGTCAGCACTGAGTCTCCACTGGCCTGGGCAGAAGGGCGTGGGGCATCCTCTTGGGCCATGCGGTTGCCGCCCAGATTGCAGCCTTGATCAGCATGTAAGCTCCCTCCACAGGACAGTGCCATTTCATCCCCCCCCCCCACCCCCCCCCCCCCCCCCCCCCCCAGCTCCAGCCACAGAAAGATGTTTTATCATGATCTCTGTTCCGTCCTTTATGTCCTCCCCCTTCTTATACCTCACTTTTGGCACTTCCTTGTATCTTCCCAGGTCACCATGGATATAACCTACCTGCGCACATCCCTGACCTTCCTTTTTCTCCCTCTTGTTGTGTTTGGGGCACCCGCTGATGAACCCAACCTCACAGAACCAGGCCCTGGTGCTTGCAAGCGCTGTTGTGACTCACTGGACTCTTCTTCAGATACCCCACCAGTCCCTCCCAGCCACCACCACTTTCCCTACCCAGTGCCAGAGGTCCGTCCCTATATCAACATCACCATTCTGAAGGGTAAGTCTGCCCCGGGGTGCCAAGGCTGGCTCAGGGACTGATGGCATTGCAGTGGAGGTGACAGCTGGATTGCTGGCATGCTGGTTGTGCTAGCAGACCACCAGGAGCCATCCTGGAGGATAAGTGACCACACACACTGTGCCCAGGGTTTAGGTGTTTTGTGCTCTGATGAGGAGAAGCCTTGGTGGATGGAAGTCAGTGCTTTCTCTGCTGTGGTCTCTGTGTCTCAGGATGCTGCCTGCTACTAACTCTTCCTCCTTGCTAACACAGGAGTGGCACTGACAGTCTCTTGCCAAGCTGGAAGGACACATTCCTTTTCTCAGACTCACAGAGCCCTGTAGTGCCTGAGGGAAGGAACACTCCTTATCAACTGCAAAATAAGCATGTTTGGAGGACATTGGCACCCAGGGAGGTTGTGGGGAAACCTTATCCAGGTCTGTGGGTCATGTGCATTTGGGAGCCAGAGCAGGGCAAAGAGAAGCAGCAGTTACTTGCAAGCACCTCCAGGTTAAACTGGTAGTAGCCCCCCAGCTCATTCCACCCTGCAGTGACTGACCTGGCTAACGGGAAAGGGTTCCCTATTTTCAATCAGCTCTTCCCTTCAGGACTCCTCTTTTAGCCTTTGCTGTGGGCAAAAGCCTGCTCCCAGCTGGATGCTTCCACAAGCTTCTTGTAGCTCTATGGTTCATCTGGGCTAACTGGGAAGATGCTCTCCCTTCCCTGCCCTGCCTGGAAGTAGCTGCAGTCCATCAAAGTTCAGAAGGGCAGAGAGAGGCCTAGACTAGAGTGGGGTGTTGTAGGGGGCCTTCAATACCAGGGGATGGAGAGGAGGAAAAGAACAAGATACAGATTTTGAATGCTGTCACTTAGTGCTGGAGGCTGCTCTGAGTCCCATTTCTTCTCTGTATACACAGAGTACATTCTGGTGCTGGTCTCTCTGTGTATTGATGCCTGCCCAAGTGTGTGATGGGCAGTGCATACACTCTACGTTAGAACTGCAGTATTAATTATGTGAGATGCTCAAAGCATGCCAATATTGTGGAAGCACCATCCTTCTAAGTTGCAGTGCTCCATCTACCCAGTCCAGCTTGGATCTTTTCCCTCTGACCCACCCTGTTGTCCTTCCCTAATCATATTCCTCCACAGGTGTTAGCAGTTCTTTCCCTCCTCCAGCCTACAGCAAGACCAGTGTGGATCCTGTATGGAAAACTGGGTCATAGGAGTGGTGCGTGGATGGAAAGGCTGTGCTGGAGGTAAAGGAGTATGAGGGAGGAAGAAGAGGTCAAGAGCCTCAGTGCTACTTTGGACTGCTGGGCTCCCTCTGAGGCTGAAGTCTCCTAGGGAGATATCCTGGTGCTTCCAGCAGAACCGTATCATTTGGTGAACAGGGGATTCATTGGGGAAGAGACTCCAGTCACTCCCAGAGTTCTGCTAGCTCCTTTCCCATGAAGAGCAGTGGTATTGTGGCCCTCAGAAGTGTTCCTTCTTCTGGCGTTTCCCCATTCTTGTGCAATCCTCTGCCTCCTCATTAGGCTTTCTCACCACCACTTCCACATCTTCTGGTATCACACAGGAGTTGTATCCTCTGCTTCCTCCTGTAGGAGAGAAAGGAGACCGGGGAGAACCTGGGATGCCAGGGAAATGGGGCAAAGAAGGACCACGAGGCGAGCGGGGTGCCCAGGGCCAGAAAGGCAGTAAAGGACAGATGGGCGCAGCAGGAGACCCCTGCAAGCATCAGTACGCTGCATTCTCCGTTGGTCGCAAGAAAGCGCTGCACAGCAGCGAGGGCTTCCAGGTCTTGATCTTTGACACCGTCTTCGTCAACCTCTACAGCCACTTCGACATGTTCAACGGCAAGTTCTACTGCTCAGTGGGTGGACTTTACTATTTCAGCCTCAACGTCCACACCTGGAACTTCAAGGAGACCTACATGCACATCATGCGCAACGAAGAAGAGGCGGTCATCCTGTATGCCCAGCCCAGCGACCGCAGCATCATGCAGAGCCAGAGCCTCATGCTGGAGCTCCAGGAAAATGATGAGATCTGGGTGAGGCTCTACAAGCGGGAGAGGGAGAATGCCATTTACAGTGATGATGTTGATGTGTACATCACCTTCAGTGGGTACTTGGTCAAGCCCAGCATTGAATAACTCCTCTTCCTTAGGGCCTCTTAGGCCTTTTCCTTTTTCCTCTCTCTCTCTTTCTCTCTCTCTCTCTCTCTCCCTCTCTTTACTGCCCATAGCCACTGCAAATTCACTTGGAAATGGGCCTGTCAAATCTCAGGCACTGAGTATGAAACTTGCCACGCTGGCTCCCCCCTCACACTCTCTTGTAGCCAGACCTGTATCTGTCCACTTTACATCATGGCACTACCACCTCTTGCCCCTCACCTCATAACCCCAACTTAAGTTATTGGTTTCTACTCTATCTACCAGCAATCTGCCTCTGGCATTAGGGTTCTAGAGCAAGAGGAAAGCTAAAATGCTGTTCCTGGGCCTGTGTCCCTCCTTGGGGCTTCATACACAAAGGACTCCTGTGGACAGGGCTAGAAAGTCCCCACTGCTGAGGTACATCCTGTCTCCTCTCCATCCCAACTAGACATACCAGTTTTGAAGACTGAAACAAGGTCTTAATGTCACCTCTGATGTCTGTAGTCTGGAGAGCAGACTGGGGCCTGATGGTTTCCTGTAGCACAAGGAAGAGGTAGGAGCACTGGGAAAGGATATTCCAAAAATATATATTCCAAAAAGGGAACTGTTGGCCTTCTAAACTGGCTTTCCATAGACACTCTTGTGTGTCACAGACTCCAGGCTGGCCATCAAACCTATGGCTGGTGGGATTGTCCTCTGTGCCAGCTCTAGCTCTTCAAAGGGATGACGGGCCAGACACTTGGCCAGACCCTTCATGGGCCTCTGCCTTTGATTCAGTAGAGGTGACCATTCTGTTCTCACTAGGGATCACCAGTACAGAATGAGAGACAGGGAGGGAAACCTTGAAAACCCCTTCCCACACCTCCCCTGGGATGCCACTCAGTCTTGGCTCGTCAGCTATGGGAAGCTAGGCCAGAGAGTGAACCTGAATCTGCTCTTCTTTGGCAGAGGTGCCATTTCATTGTCCCCCTGAAGGTGGTTCTCCCACACTGCTATTGAAGGACCAGTGTTTCAGGGCCTGAGCTCGAGGCTGTAGGGGCAATTGCAGTTAAATCAATTCCAAACGTGGACAGGCTGCCACTTTTTTACGTCTGTGATGGAACAGAGATAGAGGTGAGACAACAGCACCTTGCCCAAGGGTTAAAAGCTTCCCTGCTGTATGCTCCATGCCCTTTTCTGGCAATCTCATCAGAGTAACTGAGAAAAGCATGTGGCTAAAACAAACCCTCGCTCCTTTTTGTCAGGTTGGAGATGTCGCAGTGAGAAAGGAATGCCAGTGGTAGGGTTTTCTAGTACTATTTATATTGGTCTCACACTGCTCCCACTTGCATCCCTCTGGAGGGGATGCTGCAGTCCTGGGGGAAGCAGGTGAGGCTGGCTCAGCACTTTAGGAAGCCTACTTCCACATGTCATTATGCTCCCTCCCATAAACAGCAGTGCCAAGACTTGTCTCCTTTTTGAGTCTCAGGGCAGGACAAGCAGGAGAAACACAGGTATTCCTCCTCTGCTCATCACTGGTCAGGAAATCTTCAGAGTTACCCAGGTTCTGCTGTCTCATTGATGAGCCACGGTCTCTGTCTATAGCACCTGGGAGTACCAGGGCTCTCCCAGAAGAAATGTGCATCATTATACAAGATTATACCTGGTACACACAGCTCAGGATAGCAAAGGAACAGGGACCAAGGCTAAATACTAAAACTGACCTTGAAAAAATTGCAGGGCATTTTCTCTCTTATCCTGTTTACTTGCTCTCAGTGCTTTTCTAAGGAAGCTGTACAGACTGCAGTGAGTTTCAGGAACTTTGCTCTGGATCCTCCCCACCAGTGTCAATGAGGCAATGGGTATAAAAACAAAGTTTCACTAAGGCAAGGCTGATTTTTTCACCAGGAAGCATGATGAAGGGATCCATATAAACTAAAGGAGACTGTGGGTTTCTTCCTCTCCCTTAGCAGGTCAAGTATGTGGAATTGTTCAGAGACAGGATTTCAGAGAGCAGAGGAAGCAGAAAGCTGGAAGTGATGCTTGGGACCAGATCCCTTTCTCTCTTCCTCAAAAGGCTGCAAACCCAAATTTAGTCAATTTACAGTTAATAGTGCCCCATGCCTCCCTGAAGAGAAGCAAGCCTCTCTAACACTGAATATCTCCATAAACAAGCTTCCTTCTTTCTCATTTCCTATTTGGTGATTGAATGCTGGTGGCAGGTCTCCTATGCTATCCATGAGCAGCCGGAGGGTGCCTGATGCACGTGAGAGAGGAGGGCTGGGGGACCAAAAGGTGTGTTTAACAGGCTTCTGGTGCTAAACAAGACGGCGTTCCCTTGGTGCTAAATCAGATTTCAGGAGCATTGGGTGCTTTCTGGAAAGTGTAGTAGGCTGAGTTGTGATGTACTCTGGAATTAATGGTGCTTTATGTAACAAAACCAAACAAACTCCAAGAATTTTGTATATATATATTTTTTTTTCAGTGGTATTAAACTTTTTTCCTTGGTTGTTTTGCACTTAAATCTGTTTTTCTCTCCCAACTGATTCCTTCTAGCTCTGGTTATTGATGAATGATGTGGTAGAAAAGACACTGGCCTGAAATTGGCAGGTACAAAGTTTAACTCAGCTCTGAAACTTTGGTGGGTAATCCTTGGCAATCTTGTATCTGTTCCCTTTGTGAATAACCATTACCTTAAAATATTAACTGCTTGAACACTTCTAATTATGACAACCCTCTCCCTTTTGCTGAAAAAGCTTTCATCAAATTAAGAAAAGTATTCTTTGAAGATTACAAAATAAACTCCCAGGACAATACAGTGCGTTGTAGGAATAGGCTTCAAGTACTTATTTATATGGAGGAAGGCTGGGTTAATCTTGGAGTTCTCTTAAGGGAGATCAGATCCCTTTATCTTATGAAATTTTTTTGCACATTCTTCTATCAAGTACTTGGTAAGCACTGTTTTCCCTATGACATTTCTCTTTTCTCTGCCAAGAGCTGAAGGCCAGGAAGTACAGTGTAGGAGGGATAGTAAACTGTTGATTGGACACTTGTGCTTCCTAATATTGGAATGAGTGGGAGTTCCAGAGTTAAGCTGGACATGCATATTTGGAAGACCTGTGTGTGATGAGAAAGGCCTGAGATTCAGGTCAGAGGTGGAAAGACAAGTAGTAATTGCTCATAAAGTTGAGGGAGAAGGGAAGACATGAGCAGGGACTGGAGACCTGTAAGCTTGAGTGAAAGATCTAGAAGGCTAGAACCCTAAGGACAGGGAGATGCCTTTTGGGGACTCAGTCTGAGTCAAAGAGGTACATGGGGTTTTGTTTATCATTTTTGGACTGAGGGGACTCCTGCCGAGGTAGAAGGATAGGCAAAAGAGCAACACCAGGTGCCCATATAGGACCTTCTGTTTTGAGTTTCATTTGCCTTCACATATTTTCTCCTGTGGTTTGATGTGTACCAGACACTTTTTTTGGCAAAGGGTGGAATACATAATCATACACATCCCTACAGGCCTCTTTGGTCCTGTGACAGGCCCAGAGCAAGAGCTATATATATATCCTAGTAAATGCAATAATCTGTCACATCAGAGCCCAGCCTTCTTCCCATTTTTTATTTACTTCAGAGGAAGCAGATAAAAATGTGTCCTAAGGAAGTGTAGTGGCTGTGTTTGTGCATGTTCTTGTTCCTTGAGGTGAGATGCTGGCAGATTGGAAGTGACTTTGTCACACTTACAAAAGGTGAGGAAAGGAAAGAGGGAGGGAGGGGGGACCGGAAATGTATAGCCAGATCTCCAAGAAAAGTTTTCTATGATTCAGCCTTTCAGCTTGCCACCTAAAGAGTCTCCTCAGCCAAATCCCTTGGGGCTCAGATGCACGGTAACAGGCAGGGTGTGTAGCTGGTGCCACCCATCACACCATGAATGAATGAATGCCTGTCCAGGGGGTTGCTGCAGGTGAGGCTCAGCTCAGGCAACATGGACCCTGCAATGCTTTGAAGGAACAAGGTGTAGAATGGGTCAGATCAGCCCTGCCACCCTGCCAGTGAGTGCACTCATGCCCAGAAGGCCATGAGACCATTCATTCATTCATTCAGGCCATGGAATGGAGCTGCCCTGTGGAATGTGATTCAGGGGTTGGGGACAGCCAGTATTTCTCGCCTGGACAAAGTGCCCTGGGATGCACAGCTACAGCACTACCCCAGAGCTGTGCCTATATTTTGCGCTGAAAGACTGATCCAAACTCTGCTGCAAAAGGCTCTGTGGACATGTCTGAAGTTTGTTCAAGGCATCTCTCATAGGGCTGTCCCTGCAAACTGCCTTCCTGAAGATCCGTAGTCTTGCACATGCGAAAGGAAGGGAGTGGGAGAAAGGACATGAAGTGCAGGACATGGTGCTGTCCCTGGGAAAGGAAGCACATGCCAGGGACAAGTCAGGAGAAGCTGAAAGCGCTGTAATAGCTCCTTGCTCTGTGATAGCTGTGGGAAAGGGGAAGAGAGAAGCAGGGCAAGAAAAGTATGAAGGAGGCCTTTGACCCTGCAGGTGGGCACAGGTGGATGTGCCTGCACCCAAAGCACCAGGGAGAGCAGAAAGCACAAGAAAGCAGGACCTGGCTGCACATCCCTTCAGAGCCTTTGTCACAGGAGGGGCAGTCACAGGAAGTGTCTCTGGCCTTGCCTCAGCTGCCAGCTGTGATGCAAGATCAGCCCCACACCAGTACACTATTCAGGGGCTGCCACGCTGTACTGGAGCAAGTTTCCCCTCTGCTGCAGCTCTCCTTTCTCCTCTCCCAAACCACCCAGACAACCTGCTTCATTCACACCTCAGTCTTGTGTATCTCCCAGGGTCCAGAGAGGGAGAGGGGGTGATGCAACACCCCATTCAGCATTGCCCAGTGGCACAAGCAGAGCTGCCACCTCCCTCCATCGAGCACATTGCAGCCAGATGCCAGCAGTGGATTCAGCCTGCCCAGACCCCCTTTTTCTCAACTTCCCTTTCCCATTGCTGGCAGGGATCTACCAGGATTTGAAGGGCTGGATGTGCACCCTGCTCAAGGCTATGTGGATGGTGGGGCACAGCTGCATTTGAGGGCAATTGTTCCACTGCCTCGTGTGGTGTGGCCCTTCTCTGACCACAGTGGCAAAGCAGGCACTTGCCCAGTCACGCCAGGCTTCGGAGGCCAGCTCGGTGCACACCCACACAGGTATACCCACACATGCCAACACACCGACCAACCTCATATGGACATCTCTCACCTTCCTGACAACGGAAACCATTGCCCTTTGCAAGCCTGGCTCACTCTGAAGATGCTATCAGGAGGTGGGCAGAGGGTGCTGAGGTTCCAGGCCTCTTTGGTACAAGCACAGCTCCCTCATCTAATGAAATGCATTCTCCTTCACCCACGAGCTCTCTGTGATCTCTTGCCTTGCAGTTACACCACAGTGAGGGCCAGGGCAGAAGGTTTAAATCAAAGGCTTCCGACAGTTTCTCATTCCACAGACCACCCAGTCTCTTCAGTTTGTGTCACTTAACTCACAAATGACCTGTGAATTATTGCAAAATTTCACACTTTTCCCAGTGCACTTTTCTCTCTTTGCAGCAGTTAAAATGGGAGGGAACAGGCTGTAGAGCTCTCGTCTTGGAGAAGCTAAGGAGTAGGGAACTCCCCATCTACCTGGGCAGGTTGTAAATAGAGCCCCGGGTGAGTGGGAGGCAGGAGTCTGTGTTCTTTCTGGATTCATTTTAACACACTTGCACCCGTTACCAGTGTGGGTGGGGACGGAGAAGTGCAGAGGTGCCTCCACTGCCAGTGTGAGCTGCAGTGCACTCCTGAGGGGCAGATGTGCCCAAGCCTCACAGGTGCACTCCTGAGGGCAGATGCAATACTTTGAAGTAGCCAGAGGAAGAAATGGTCCACGGGGAAGAAGGAAGACAATAGGTCTCTTATCTAACTGACTCACATCCTGCAGGCATCATTTTTACTGTTCTGATCCCTGTTCTGAAGCCCTGATCACTTTCCAGGTATTTGACACAACAATGCCCTAGAGCAAGCATCTTCCATGGGATGCCTGATGGTCACAGCATTATGTTTGTCCCACACATGCTTTTCTGGGTTTGTGGCATTCTCACATTGACCCCTACAGACACTTTTTTCTCCCCACATGGCCTCAGTTCTTTCCCTGAAATAGTGGAATGGGGTCTATTACTGGGAAGGACATTCCAGGCAACAAAGCCCTGTCACTTGCAGCCACAGCCAGCAATTCAGTAGATCTTTAGGGCCAAGGGTCCACAGGGTTACTATTTCACAGACAATTCAAAACACTTCTCAAGACCTTGCTTTGTCCCAACTCCCACTTTTCTATGTGTGGTGTGCTGGTGGCATTATTTTTGTCTTAGAGAATTATGCAGGCTTTGACAGCTGTACCACACAATTTAATTTTTTAAAATTCTATTTGTTCATTATATGGCAGATACTGAAGCACTCCCCTGACCCTCAGACAGGCTTCCTTCTCCTCCCTCATCCCCAATCCTGCAGCCATGGAGGCAGAGCATCTGAGCCTTCAGCTCAATGGGTAGACCAGGCAGGGACAGTAGTGAGTTGGATCAGCCCAGGACTCTCTTGTCTTGCAGGATGGCAACCTGAGCCCAAAGGAAATGGAGAGAGGATGAATGCATAGCCTTCTCTCTGCTGCAGGTCTTTTTTTTTTTTTTCTTTACTCCCCTCTCCTCCTTTACATTCCTATGCCAGTCCTCAGCAGTTCAAAGCAGCATGCAGAGAGCTCTCAGAGTGCAAAGTGCAGGGAGAGCAGTGGGAGGGCAGCTGAGGACGGAGAAGGGCGAGAGGAAAAGGTCAGTGACGAAAGCCCAAAGCGATGGCTCTCGGCTGAGC